ATTTACTGGTATTCACTAAGATTTACTGATAGACAAATGCATTTGGAAATGAATATCACACATAACTGTCTTGAATGGTTATCATTTTCACTGTTTACAAATGCTCAAATGTCACTTATCTACATAAGAAATGCTCGCCACATTGACAGGACTTCTGGACAATTTTAGAATTAGCTAGAAGATAAAAAAGAAAAACAACAAAACAAACCCCTTTGGATTGTATCTGCACACTGCACTGAACTATCATATCTTTGTTCAGGTAAAGTATCCTCTGACAAGCTACATCCACAGGCAGAGAAGCTGCTATAAAAAAAAGTGAGTAAGTTAGCTTTACTGTATGATCTATCTAAGAAAATTAGAGAAATAACAGATTAGCTTGTTTGTACTGACCATACTCAACTAATTGTCACTTCATAGGCAATAGAAATTTTGGGCCTAAATTTCCCCTACAATGATAAGCTAATAGAGGAATATGGAGATCATCCTAGAAGCTTCTCTGAAATTTCATTTTTATGGACTGAGAATTTATTAATTCTTAAGTTAATTAATTAATTTTTATTTTATTTAAATAAACATATATATTACTTTAAAAATACTGTCAAACTTCCTCACATTCCCAAATTTATATTATTCTGATAGAGGTTGACATTCAAATTGAGTAATTGCTTAATCCACTTGCACAAAACCAAGCATTTAGCACCATTTGACATGCCACATGGCATCTAAGAACCCACACAGGGTCAATAAACATGGCACTGGATTTATGAAGGAATGCTTCCAGATAATCTGCTGGGACCCAGAAAACATGATCATGGAACCTCTCAAATCAGCACACAGGTTTGTTCCTATGTGTTGGAAAGTGCACTAGATCTTCATTGCCTATAGTGGGAGGTTAGGAATCCAGCTGATGTGGAAACACAAAGGTGAATAAGAAGCTGTATCATACCTTTAGTCTTTTCAGATTCAAGTTATAATCTCCTGGTATGTAGTTCATCCAGAAATGATTGAAAGAATTCACAAAATGTTGTAGAGTGTGACTGAATATACACACATACTTCGCATTTACCTCAGACCAGTAGGGAAGAACCATTCTAAAAAGCTTAGAACTCTAGTCAGGTGCAAATTCTTATAAGCTGCACTTCTTTAGTGATGCTAGAGGTGGTTAGAGCTTCTAGAAAAAGCTTCTCATTTCGTATTATCAATCACACTGCTCTGAAGAAGAAATTTAAAGATTGATTGACATAGGAACTTTCAGTTGTTTCATCTAGCTCAATATATATTGAAGAGGTCAGAGTTCGATGACAACTGCCTGGTTAATTTGCTTTTTTTTTTGGCAGTACCTCTTTGCCAAATGCTACCTGAGCTGGAGAAGGAATTTATAAGTTTGCCTCATAATGTCAGTTATCCAAGCTAGGATTTAAAGGGCTTCTACACCATTAGTACATGCAAATTCATATACACTTTTAAATTCATGTACAGTCAGATGTAATGTGTACATTCTAAGGGGATTTAGAGGCTTAGCATTTCCTACAGGTTACCTACAGCATCTCTGTATAAATAAGAACAGGACCCATGTGGACCCATTCACTTTCTCTCCAGTGAGTTACAGGGCATTTAAGTACTTCATTTTATAAGGACTGCATTGTTTCTGCTCCTGGGCAAGAAATCTAATTTAGATGCCTATATTAGATTTACTGAATCTGAGTCACAGTCACAGTACTCAAAGACTATGCATTATTCTACTGATGTGATTCGCAAAGCCTCTGAAAGTGATATCATTTAAAGTGTTGCAGAGGAAAAGGCAGTAACACCTATGCTTTACCTTATGCTATTTTAGTTTCCCAGTTAACCAGTGATCTGCTGTTACAAACAGTTGCAAAGAATGGCCATTATAAACATAGCACTCTGGTGGAGTACAAGTTATCTTTAACTCAAACATTTCTACAAGGAAATATTTGTGGTCTTTATATCATGCACATCTTTGCTGAGAAACACTGAAACCTAAAGTGTAACATCCTCACTCTTTACTGTCATGCTATTCTAGGTACTCTGTATCATATGTTAACTTCTAACTTTTGCTTGTAAATTCCTTCAGCAGCCCAAGTGTCATTAGCAACTTCTTACACTCTTAAAAAACACCATGAAATAATGTTTTGCCCAATAGAAGATGCATACATTTTTGGCTCATGCTGTAGGCTCAACATTAACAGATACATCACACTGTGTATAGGCAAACAGCAGAAACCAGCTTTTCATCTTAATAAATGTGATTACATCCTTAGTAATCAAAATAGGCAGAGGCTCAAACATGCTGATGAATTGCACTGAATGTTTCCAGATACAGCTTGAGTCAGGGAATAGGAAATACAAACACAGAAGAAACTATTCTGTTTTGGAAAAGGTAGAGAGAAAGATAAGGAAAATACAGCTCAATAGATATAAACTTCTCTATACTCTTTGCGTTCATGGTCAGAAGTTAATGTTTTAGCTTCAAGTGCAGACAGGGTTAGACTTTTGTCTGTGTAGAATTAGTGAGGGTTTAAATGAACTGTTTTGCTCCCTGAGGTGTGGGGACAGCAATCACTATATCACATGGCATCAGGGAGCTAGGTGGGAACACCTTTAGCTATTCTAATCAGACCTTAATGAATATATCTGTCCACAACTGTGGAATTTCACATTTAAGGAAAAGGTTTATAAGAACATTCTACTATAAAAGAATGAAATAAATGTATATGTTTATGTCCATGTGTATATGTATGTACATTCATGCACTAATATAGGCTGGGGGACACCCAGCTGGAATGTAGCTTGTCAGAACAGGAGCCAGCACTGTGCCCGTGTCTCAAAGAAGACAGGTGACATCTTGAGCTGCATTAGACAAACTAGTGTCAGTAAGTCAAGGAAAGTGAAATAAGCATAAATTAAGATATGTTTTCTGTATGGACCAACACAAAATATCTGCAATGCCTATTGAAAGGAAGTGACTAAATGTGAAATGATTTCTTATATTGGTCAAGCCACCAATCTTTCTTAGTTTGACTTGAATGAAGAAACATAAACTGTTTAAGTTTAGCAGATTGTTTCAGGTAAATGAAAGGAGTAAAAAAGTTCTATAGTAACGCGTCAGGTTCTATTATTTCATTTTCATCTTCATGATACTTTCCTTTTAACATGTTAATACTGCTTAGCTTCTGATAATTCTGCTATTGAATTATGAATTACATTGTTTGATATCGTACTACTTAAGTCTGACTACATTGCCAACATAATTACAGCACCTGGAGACTGAAATGAGGTATCATGAAAACTCAGGCTATAAATTTAAACATTCATTTTAAGAGGATCTCAGTACAATCTTTCCAAACTGTTAATAATACTTGTAGACTATGACTTCATCTTTTTTAGTGAATTCAAAAGTAAGGAACTCAATTTTTTTTTTCTCAAAGGTTCAATCATTAGCTGCTAATTTTGACCTGGCTTCTTTCCAGAGAGCTCTTCAGTTATTTCTCAGTGCAATGAAAATAATAGAGAAATTTTCTGAAAGATACACAATGGAATTAATTTTCAGGTTAAGTTAACACAACTGTTTTAGGAGTGTATAGGTAAGTGTCAATCATGTGAAACAACAATTATACAGGCAATTGCCTTTAACATTATGGATAAAAAGCTAAAACACTCATCTTGATAATTTTGGGATCACTGGTTTACATGCAAATAGCAGTTCAGGGGTAAGCAAAGTAAGGCATGTCTAGATGTAGTAAAATCCCTATTGATTGGATGAACGCAGCTAAATTTGTGAGTCATATATTTAGAATCTGTAGCAGGTTTAAAGCTTATGAATATAAAAGCAGTTTGAAATCTCGCCTCTAAGTTGTTTCAACAGATACTTTATATAACGTGAAACCACAGAACCATAGAATCATAGAACTACAAAACAGCACAGATTGGAAGTGACTGAAAGATCTTCTGGTCCAGCCTTTCATGAGAAAGGGAACCTAGATAAGAATGAGACCATTACATACCTTACACACATACATAGATACAAAACCTGAATCACAGATTCATGGAAGCATTCATAGGAAGGGAGATCTAAAGGACCTCAGTGGCCAACTAGATAAACTTCTCACTCAAATCAGGGCTAGTGCCAATACTGGATTTAGGAATTCAGGAAAACCTTCAATGAAGAAGATCACTTAGACTTTGAAAAAACATCTGCATTTGTTCACTGCATTCCAAGTGATTCCCCTTAAGCCAATGTCCAACCTGAACTGTCCATGCTACAAGTTGGGCTGTTTGCCTCTTCTTACATTTTGTGGTGCTCTCAAGATTTGGTTCCATGACCTTCCCTTCAAGTCTTAAGTTGCTATTTGGTCATCATTTAGCCTCCCCTTCACTAGACCATTTCTTCAGCTTCTCCTTTCCTAGCTGATATACCATCTTGGTAGCCCATCTCTGGACCTTTTCCAATTTGTTCCTATGCCTTCTGAATTGTGGAGTGCAAAACTGGAAACAATATTTCAGGTGCAGACTTAGCAGCACCAGGTATTATGTGAATAATAACTTCATATGGCTTGCTGACAGAATTTTTCCTGCTGTAGAACAATATACAGTTTTCCTCATTCATACTGTTGACTCATACTCAGCCTGGTATCCATCATAAGCCCCATGTGTTTGATTATGGTTTTTTTTGTTTGGTTGTTTTTTTTCTGAGAATATTTGCTATTCTGTCTATCATTCTTAGCATGCTATGAAATCTGCTGTTGCTCCTCTTCAGTTTCACAGCTCTGCCCTTCTTGCATATCTGTTGGTCCATTCCTCAAATTTACTGAGATCACTCCGGGTTAAGGGTTATCAATAATTTTTTCTAATTCTGAACAGGTTTTCTTTTAAACACACAGAGTATTAGAGTATTGCAGATTATAAACTGATGCCAGTTTTCACAATAACACAATAACAATGTTGGTTTTATTCTTATTATTACATAACTGTAAAAATACCTGAGGTGGAAGGAGTGGTAATCTGATATAAGCAAGTAGCATACTTAGGTCGTTGCATCGCCTCTGCATATCATACTTCACCCACATCATTAAGGCATGGAAAATGGTCTCTTCATCAGGAACATTCACATCATCACTAGCAAGAAGTTTATGCAGCTCTTCAGCTGGTAGAAGTAAAAATTCTTGATTTCTTATAACTTCCATTATATTCTCCTGAGAAGAAGAAAGTAGTTCAGATTCAGTAATTCAGTAATATTTCAGAAAAGAAAAAACAGATGCTAAAGCTAATAAGACCATAGAATCAGCCTGTATCTGCCATACACGGACATGGGTATGCTGTGCCATATTCTTACAGCTCATGAGAAAAACAAACCACGGATGAGTTCAACAGCTGTAGTCGCAATTCATATATAAATATATTCAGAGAAAAATATGAAGACTATATGGTAATATTGTAATTAAGAATTGTCAGAACTAGAAAAGGCTAGTGTTTGAAATTTTTATAAACTCAGTTGTAATTCAACATATTCAATATATTGTAAATCTTTATATGGACATACTACATTTTCCTGTGTTTTTTCACTGTCTGATCTACTTCTTAAAAAACTTGTCAGTCATATACAGTTATATTATCAATATCCAGATGATGTCAGTTTATATACATGACAAGGCTGAGAGGAAGATCAACACCTGAACTTAGCATTATTTCTTGAACTTGTTTAGAACAGATTGTTAACATCCAGTTAACATTCAAAATGTATACAGCAATTAAGGTCTCACAGTATTAAAATTTATAATACCATCATGGTTTAGAAATGGTACTCAGCAGTTCAGTGCTCCCACCAAGACTCTCCAAACCACTTGCTGCTCTCTCACTCCCCTGCCTTTCTCCTCTCCCCGCTCCTTGGGGCAGGCTGAAGAGGAGAGCTGGAGGCACAAAAGGCAAAGTTCAGGGGTTGAGATAAGAACAATTTACTGGAATCAGCAATGAGGTAAGAAAATGAACAGTGACAGCAACAATACTAATGAGAGAGGATACAAGAAAGGAACTTCCCCCCCCCCCGACAATAGACAATACTGGACAGCTCCCTCCACCTCATTCACGTGACTGATGGAACCCCTTCTCCTCTCAAGAGATTCCCTTTGCCCTGCCCCCAGCAATGACCTGAGGTAGTACAGAATAACCACTGTTCCTTAGCTATGCACCCTCCAGGCTACTGCAAAAAATTAACCTTTTCTTGGTTGATAGAAAAAAAAATAAACAAAAACTATATAAGTTACATAAAACTTATAAACTAAACAAAAAAAATTCAATTGGTTGACTGAATCCTAAGGATTGAATTAAGCACTCTCTGAACTACCTACTCTACATTAACAGGACACAATAGAATCACAGTTTTGCAGGGTACTTTCTCCAAACATTTTTTTTTAAAGTGCCTAATCTCCATGGAGAAATTAAAAATTCTTGATTCATAGACAATTTTGAGATGAATATGAAGTAGTTGTAGACTGGAGGCACATGAAAAAAACCCTTATTTTTTATATAAACAAAAAAAAAATCAAAAAGTAATAAAAGGAGCAGTAAGTTATAGCATCTAACAGATAAAAGATAATAATGAATTTCATGCTATTTTGGATAGACTTTGTGAGAGTAAGACAAGAAGCAGGGAAGGAATGACAAAACTTCAGTCATGAAGTGTAAGAACATCAAAACTCAGGGAAGTGGATACTTCGACTGCTACACCCGCTTGATTCAGTTCTTAGCATATCAAAATCCAAATCGATGCTGTCTATAATTGCTTGTTTGGGTCTCGGCCATTATAACAAATGCAGGAAAAAAAGGTGCAAGATTTATAACATCAGAATTATACTCTGGCTCTAGTGTGTCACATGCTGTCCTCCTCCATCCCATGCGATAGAAGGAAATTCCTATTTCGATTCTCCAACTTCATATTTTTTGAAATTTACTGCTTAAACGAATTTATTAAAAATTAACTGCATATTATCTTACATAAGGTAGCAGAGATTAATAATGAAGACATAGACATGACAAAATCATGACAGACAGAAGTTCTTTGAAATATGTAATGTAATTACAGATGAAATACATAAGTGCAGATAGAATAAATTAGATAAAGCCGAAAATTATGCTTATTACTACGAATGTAAATACTTTCATATGTAAAATATAACTTTCAATGAGTTACTTTTTAACTTTACATATATACGCAAAGTAGGATGCTGACACAAAGACAATCAAAGGTGTTCATGTGGTCATGGACTGTATTAACCATGCTCTTAAATTATCTTAACGTAAGAGATAATTGGGTTAAAACATGAGTTAGTTCTTTTTTAAATTATTTGATTAAACGTCAATATGTCTCTAAAAAAATAGATTTTTATGTAATGGTGTTTTAATCCACTAACTCCTGCTAAATTGTGTGACTAGAACATTGCACAATAGCTTGGGAATGTAAGGGAACTAGTTTGCAGGCACTTAACCACAAGTTGGCTTAATTAATTTTAATTAAAAAGCCATAAAACTCAGAAAATTTCATTGCACTTCTCAATAAAATGATTTATAAGCCAAAGTTTAATTAAACCTGGTTAAACCGACATTAAATTTCATTATGAAAAAAATATTACTCTACTTCTTAATAGGAACCAACATCAAACTTTGCAATAGCATATTAACACAAAGACCTAATATCATAGAGAAGCATTGTGATGGTGAAACACATTTAAAGAACTCACACAACTTTAATAACACTCAAAGAAGGAGCTCTACCTTCAAAATAATAATTTTAGGTTTTATTAAGATTTTGTATCATTTTTATCTTTTTATTTGCATATATGCTTAAAAATAACTTATTCCAGTCTCTGTACTAATTGACCATTGACTGAAAGTAGAATTAATGAAGTTTTTAGACAAAATATACAATCTCAAATCTCTTCTTCCAAACATGTGGACTTACTCTAATTTCATGTTACTTAGGAATGAGTATTGTAGAAAATTACATTTAATAAAAATTCTTTACATAATCATATAACTTCCGTGTATATATATATATATATATATATAAAATACGTAAATAGCAGCAATAAAATCCCGGTTCTTGATCTTCAGAGCTAAAAACTCTCTCCTTTAAGTCCCTAGCATTTCCTAAATTGACTACTGAATGCTTAAAACTTGCTAGATAACACTTTAATTTCTTGAGGTTAATTTCTTTTGGAGCAGCAAAGCATATTTCAATGCCTTGCTGTTTTATAATAACAGAAATAATTTCTCCTATGCTTATTGTGGAAAAATATCCACCTTTTTTTTTTTTTAATGTGACTAGTCTTCATTTTTGCACTTTAGGGAACAGGATTCAACAGATGTCTGTGGTCTACTCATTACAATTTTCAGGATAAATTAAATAAATCTTAATTATGGTGCAAGATAGGAATTGAGCTGCACAGTTATAGAATCATACAGTCATTAAGGCTAGAAAAGACCTAGGATCATTGAGTTCAACTATTAACCTAACACAGCCATCTTCACGACTAAACCATGTCCCTAAGTACCACATTTAGATGTTTTTTGAACACTTCCAGGGATGGTTATTCCACCACTTTCCTGGGTAGACTGTTCCAATGCTTGATCATTCTTTCAGTAAAGAAATTTTTCCTAATATCCAATGTCAACCTCCTGTGACACAACTTGAGGCCATTTCCTCTCATCCTGCTCTAGTGAAATGCTTTCAGGAATGCTTAAGTCCTCATGGGCTGATAAATAATTACAAGAGTAAGGGTGCTAAATGTTAAAGTATGCCCTAGGTTATGTGACAGTGTGGGACGAGTTTTCAGGACCTGTAATTTTTGACTCTGATACTCAAGAAACTTTGTAGATCTGGTCTTCAATGTCCCATAAGTCTCATAAGATCAACTGGGCTGTAACTAATGCCTCTTCTGCATGAGTCATTCACTTAGCCTTTCTCTTCAGCAAAAGCTGTAATGTTGTAATTAAATGGAGTAGTGGATTTTTGGTTTTAATTCAGAAAAGGTAGCTTACAATAGAAAGTATGAAAGTCGCTGAACCTGCTTGAAGAAAGTTATGTGTCACTTGATTGCTCTTCCACTTTCACAAAAATGACAATGCAATAACCACTGCTTTGGGGTTATAGCATTTCCATGATTGAGCTGTTTCACTTTTAAACCTTTTCAGTTGTACACAGGGTTAGAATTAAATGACCATGAAGTATTAGAACAGTAAAGCTACATAAACAAAACATATCTATATTTAAAGGTAGATAAGCAAGCAGTTGAGTATCTAATAGATTGTGCATCATAGGAACATAATAAACTATTACCAAATGTAATTTAATAGCATGTATCTTTATAAAAATGTCACTAATACAAATGAATTAGGGTTGTTTTCTTTTAATCTTGACTTGTAATGATCACTATTTCACATGGAATTAAATTATCTTGCAAAAGTTAGTTCTCATTGATGTTTATGTCATTGATTTCACTAATCAGCATGTATCAGTTGTAAGGAAGAACCTGAAAAATATTAAATAATTTCATATGTTGAAAAACAATGTCATGTTCTGAGAGTGCTACTTAGAACCTGTTACATCAGAGTTGCCATGGAAGTAAAATGCTTAGTTGTTTTTTTTGTTCTGGATGCAAGGGTCTTATTTAAAATATTTTACATTTTTGTGATTTTGATGCTGTGGCCTTACCAATACAAAAATGAAAACCACATAAACTAATGCTGAAAAAAAAAGATATCCAGATACTAGGTTTTCACTTAATTAGTACATAACTAATGTTCATAAATATTTTAAGCCCACACAGCTTTTAGTTTAGACACTAAGTTTTCATGAGAACATTTAAATAAATTAATAAATAGTGACTCTGATTTCCAATCTAAATCATATGGTATACTTCCTAAAGTTCTAAAGACATAGAAGCAAATTTTGATTTTGGTCAAGTCTCAAACTTTTTCAGTGTGTTACATTGAATTCAATCCTCTTGTTTTTATGCTCAGTTTTCCATATCTGCTGTGTATCACACAAGACTACACCTCCTGTACTATTGTGTAACTTCTTTCCTAAGGAGAATGGGCTTTTCAGGTTCCTGAACTCCAATTAGACAAAGGACCAGTATTTATTAATATGCTTATGGTCTGGTTCTCTAGCCAAATCCCAGATTCTATCTAGGAACCT